TTATCCTAACGACGTAGTGTTTAGGCTTAACAAGTGGTGATTCCTGCCAGGATTATCTTTATTGAAGATATACACAACAAACCGCTGAAGGACTAGCGAGGTGTATGAATTTTGAGGAACTTGAGAGAATTACATCAGAGCATATAGTTAGGTATTACTTAGATAAACCTCTTAACCAAGATTATACTTGTCCTTAGTGTTATCCACCCCTCCAATCGAAATCTTTCCAACAGCTTTAATAATTTCTGGAACTGATTTAGACGAGAATATCAAGCAGATACCTTTACCTCAAGAACTACCATTGCCTTTAATTTAATTGAACAACTTAGTGGTACCCCAAATCTGAACATCGTAACTCTCGCCTAATAAGAGTTATTTACCAACTTCTTTCTAGTATTTGATATCGTGTTCGACCTTTTTTAGCAGATGTAATATATTTATATATACAAGGCATATCATTTCGAACAAATTGTTTCCTACAATACGTTACCTTATTTATTTCTTCAAGGGTATATACTGAAATCTTAAAATAAAACCTAGTAAGGCCTATAGCAGATCAATGATTATTATAACAGCTTGTCGCTTCTTCAACACCTTCTGCATCTAGCTTAACAAACTCATCCCCTAATTTACCTCCAGTTGAAACTGAAATAATGGCTGCCTCAAGAGCTAAAATGAGAGCTATCTTCTAAGATATTTTTGGAACTGATGGACAACACTTAACAGATATTAGTAAAAGTACTTCGATTAGCACAAAGAGGAGAAAGATCTACTATCAAAGTTGACTATTTTTCAGAAGCTGAAAATGAAGATCCTGTAGAGTGGCTCACTGCATTCGAAAGAGCCACCATTACTAACAGATAGACCGATGAAGCACGAAAGAAAACCCTTGCTAGAGGACACCTCAGGGATGCAGCAGCTGACTGGTTTGATAGCGTTACTACTGCCATGAGAGACCATTGGAATACTGGAACAAATGGAGGCCAAATCTTCGTGGATTTGTTCAAAACTTATTTTATTAGTGAAACCAAGAAAAATCAATGGTATCAAGAGTTAACTTCTCTACGTCAACAAACAAATGAGTCTATAGATTCCTATGCTAATAAGTTCAAGAAATTAGTGACTCGTGTAGGATTAACAGATAATGCACAGAAGAAAAGGATGTTCCTCATGGGACTAAATTCTGCTTATACTCCATTAGTCTATTCACAAAATCCAGCTGATTTGGATGCCACTGTAAATTCTGCGCGAACTATTGAAATCAGATATAATTTTGCCTCTGGAAAAACTCCTAAAGATATAAGTATTACTACAGTGTCCACTCCTAAAAAAGTGGTTACTAATGCCGAGGTGGATGAGCTCACTAAAAAATTAGAACAACTATCTATGAATTATGCCAACCTGATGACTGCCTTATTAGCTCAACCTCAACAACTACCAAGGAGACGAACTGAGTGATCCTACAATGATACTAATAGAAGACCAAGACAAAATATGTCTTCCATGACTTGTTACAACTGTAATAGGGAAGGTCACATAGCTAGATATTGCCCTCAACCTTGTCAACAACCAAGAGGAACTGATAGAAGACCTCATTATGATAATACAAGAGACGTACATCTTGCTGATTAATATTATGAGGAAGAATATAATGACGAGAAATATACTTCAGAAGAATATTATGAAGAAGACGAATATAAAGTCTATTTTAACACTAGGTCTAGACCTTACCCAAAGAATGCTGTGTCGAAAAATAAACGAAGACCAGTAAAGTTTCAAACCCACCCAAAATAACTGTTGAAGAATTAGAAATGGAAGAACCAACACCAGAATCTGTGGTCAAACTAGTTAGAACTGAAAAAGCATTAAAAGCCCTAAAAGGAGGTTGTTACCTGCCCCTATTGAATAACTAACGGAATTTAATATCTCAACTTATTTGCAAAATCTACCATGTAGACTCTCGGTAGGACAAGCCGCACATACTATCCCCAAATATCATTCTGATTTAGCTTGAGCTGTCAGACATTCAAGAGAAAGCTACTGATGAAACTAAAGAAGCTAATTTAGTAGAAAGTGATGATGAACCAACCTCTGCTGTGAAATGTACTCTGAGAATTAGACAAAAAGCTCAAACTGCAATTATTGATAGTGGAGCTGCTACCAGTATCATAACCAAAACCTTAGTAGAAAAACTAGGATATAAAATTAATCGACTTTCAAAAATGATAGTAGTAACAGTGAATGGTGCAAGGATTCGTTCCCTCAAAATTATTGACAATATACCAGTAAAGATTAGAAAAATTAATGTACCTACTTCCTTTCAAGTACTCGAATCTAAAGATAAAATCCTTATACTTGGAAACAATTGGCTCAGAGTAACCAATGCTACTATGAGTTCAGAACAATCCATCCTTACTATTAAACAAGATGGAATTACCATGAAAATTCCTATTGCATTTACAAAAACAGCTAAAGTTGTGACTCAGGAAGCTGAGGATGAGTATGAAAGTGAAGAATATGAGGATAAATATTTAGAAGAATATCCTATTTATTTATCTGATGATGTTGACTCAGAAGAATCAGAATTGGACGATGAGTTAGGATTCAACCTATGGTCTGATCATTATACTCCTATTCAATCTGAAGAGAATACTGATGATAATGGAGAATTAGAAGAACCAATAAAAGACAACCCAGTTACCTATCTTGCTGAAGTCGCAGGATATACTGCTAAAACTGATCTAATGTACTTAGAGCAACTAGGATCTTTGGATTTCTATCAACAACAGACTTTTATGAATCTGTTAGGAGAATACTACGATATTTACGCAAGAAGTCAAATAGATATCGGAAGAACAACAGAGATCAAATATCATATCTATATTGAAACAGCTATGCCAATTGCTCAAAAACCATATCGAACTAATTCTGAAAATACCAGATTCTTGAATCAAGAGTAAAGAAAATGGAAGAAAATGGTATAATTCGATCCTCATATAGTCTATGGGCCTCACCTGTAGTAATAGTAAGAAAGAAAGGAGGTGAAAAAAGATTATGTTTCGACTATCGAAAAGTCAATGCTGTCACAAAAATTGACGCTTATCCATTATCAAGAATCGATGACTTATTAGATTCACTAGGTGGAGCAAATTGGTTTACTACCCTCAATTTGGCTAGTGATTATTGGCAAGTAGCAATGCACCCTGATGATATTGAGAAAACTGCTTTTATTACAGCAAATGGATTGTACGAATTCTTAGTCATGCCCTTTAGTTTAAATAATGCATCTGGAACTTTTCAAAGGCTTATGAATTGGGTTCTTAAAGACTTTCTTGGATTATTTGTATCAGTCTATCTTAATGATGTAATCATCTATACAAAAGGACCTTTTGAATTACATGTCGATCATGTTAAACAAGTGTTTCAAGCCTTTAGGGATGCTCACCTTGCGATAAAATTAAAGAAGTGTTACTTTTGCCAACCTTTCTTAGCATTTTTAGGACATATCTTAGGATAAGGAGGAATTTAACCTGATCCAGTGAAGATTAAGAAAATTGAAGAATTTCCAGAACCAAAAAGTCTAACTCAACTACGTGCTGCATTAGAGATTTTGCATGACATGCCAAGCCGTTGACTTTATTATTAAAGAAAGATCAACCTTTTGAATGGAGAGAAAACAACAACATGCCTTTGACTGACTAAAAGAAAGGCTTATCAAGACACCAATCTTATAATACCCAGATTTTGAGATACCTTTTACCTTATATACTGATGCTTCAAAGAAAGGATTAGATGCTGTACTTTCTCAGAAGAAGGATGGAAAAGAATATATTATTGTATATGCTAGCAGATCGACCAACAAAACTGAGGAAATTACCCAATCACTGACTTAGAGTGTCTAGCAATTGTTTGGTCAATTAAACATTTTCATCATTACCTTAGTTGACCATTTACTATCGTAACTGATCATGCTGCCCTAAAATGGCTAAAAACCTCAAAAATGCCAAAAGGAAGACATGTTAGATGGATCATGGAACTGCAACAACATCATTTTACCATTGAACATAAAGCAGGAAAACATAATGCAAATGCTGATGCATTGTCCTACATGTATGATGAAGAAACTGCTAAATGCTTTATTATTGACCTTACTGAAACGGATATAGCTGACGATGAATATAAAAACAATAGTATAAAGGAAGATATAAAATGGCATATTTCTTCTCCCGAATCTGAAAAAAATAAGGAATATTTCGAAGAGGAATTGTCTCGACAATACTCTAATACTGTCTTAATTACTGCTATTGGGTATAAATCTCCAAATGATGAATTAGAGGAAATTTACCATGAAAACATAAAGGTTAAACAAGTAATTGCTGGACAACCCATCACCAGAGGAGGATCACAATTTACCCTTCTTATGTGATACTGAAAACCATCACGTTCACACATATTGCAAGGCATGCAAGAAAAATTTATTGTACAGAACTATCATACATGACTATATCATTGAGTATGGTTTAGGAAAAATTCAACCGGACATGAAACCAGAATACTTAACTAATAACCTCTGGTAGGAAGAACCTCTTTTAGTACAACAAGAAAACCTTCGTGCACAATTACACTTTCACCTTGGTGACATTGATAATGCACCCCTCTCTCCCTCTTATTAAATTAATCATTAATATAATAAAAAGAATTAAGTGAAAGCGAAAGTGTTTACAGCGAGATAAATCCCTTAAATTCTTAACCATAGAAGAACAACAATATAATCAACTATTTAATTATTTAACTAACCAAACATACCCCACTGCCTTTAATCAAACACAACAACATAAATTAACTGTATTATCAAAACATTATATTATCAAACATAATTTATTATACAAAATTAACAAGAATA